CTGACCTTAAAAGCAGTTCACGATAACTAAAAGTTATGATAACGATAGTTCTAAAAATCATTCAAAATACAAAAGAGTGCACACCACACATGATAACACAGAGAAAAGATATCGTTTGAATCACTTTCAACGCCATTTTTTTTTTCCAGCTGATGAACGATTAAAACTTTGACAGCCAATCAGAATCCATCCTGCTTTAGCTCGAGCGTTTAAAGGGCAAACGACACTCGATATCGTCTGCTGGTGTGGATGCTAAATAGTTATCGTTATGATTATAGACAGTTATCGTTCTTTATGTGAACAGGCCTTAATCCTATCTTTGAAATCCGAATGATGTTGTTTCATGATCAACAAGGATAGATAGTCTACGAGATGGGACACACAAACGTTACCTTACGGTCTCTTCAAACTGAATATCATCCATGGAAGCCGTTACACACGCCATTCCTGCATGTCTTTCAGCTTAAAAGAAGACATGAAGAATGATTTATTACACGAACCACTATATATGAACCCCCAACGGTGGGTAACGCTGTTCTTACTGTGTTCAACTTTATTTATATTTCATGGTGTGTCTAACTGGAGCAGAAACAGGAGATGAAGAGGACGCGTTAAATCATTAATGCTTTTCTTCCTCAAGCCCCTTCCCACAGTGGCGGACACAAATGGACTCGTGCGAGATTTGAGGGTGAAAGGTGTATGGATGTTAGTTACCTTCTTTGTTCATAAAGTCCAAAGTTGACCGCTTATCTCAACCTATTCTGATGGCTTGATAACACAGGTTGTTTTGGAAAATAGACAGATCAATCAAGAGCTTGTCGTTGTTGTTTTTTAACATTCATGTCAATTTATTTTAATATTTCACATTTAGAATAATTGAATAATGACAATAAGTAATATTTTATATTTAATATAATTAGAATAATGATAATACAAAATATTTAATAGATCTAGAATAGTTTAATAATTATGTTAAATATTTTAATTATGCCTATATAATATATTTTTTATTATATAATTAATTAATTATTTATAATATATAAATTATTTAATAACATTTATTTAGAATAACAAGACATACTTTAATTATTTAAAATGATTAAATAATAATATTAACATTACTCAAAATTTCTCAATCTTACAGAATAAAGGCTGATATTTGTAATTTATATTTAACTAAATATATTTATTTATATTTAACTAATATCAACTAATAATCAACTAATAATCAACTAAAAATATTTATATTTAATTAATAGTCTTAATAGCAACAAAATACACATTCAGACTGAATGATTCCACTCTGTTGGTCTAGCTTGAAATATGAAATAAACTGAATTATAAAAAAATTATCAAATGAATTAAAACACCACCAACAACAAGCCATTAGTGTTCTGTACCAGTTCTGACAGGGGCATGGTCTGACTTTTGACTTCAAAATAAAATAATATTTGTAAACAAATCGAAAATAATTAATACAAACACATACAGATCATTATTATTCAAAAACAAAACATTAGATAATTTAACTGAAAAGAAGTTGTTACTTCTGAATAAATCTCACAAATGTTGAGATGAAAAGTCATGATAAAAGAGAGCATACCCATTCAATAAATGTGTAAAGGGAATCAAACAAGCAACCTCCACAGCCCCGCTCACCTGCCAGACAGGCGATTGTGTCCATCCACTTCAGCAGCTGTCCTGCACCCAGCTCTCCCTGGTGGTTAGCATGGCAGAGCAGGATGGACTGGCACATCTGCACCTCTCCCGGGCCGGACCCGTTCCTCCGTTCCTTCTCATGGGATCGGTCCGTGTCTAACACTCTTCTTGACCAGTTCTGATCCATGAAGCCTTGCTCAGAGACGTGTCGTATTGAATGATGGGAGGTCAGTTTGTTCCTTATCAGGGCCGACACCAGGTGACCTCAACTCTGGCCAACTTGGACGCTCTGTGGGATAATGATGTGCACCAAACAGTCAAGCTGAATACCTGAGCTAAGCTGCAGGACACCATATCTGCACACAAACCACCTGTGCCATTTTATGACGCATGGATTGTGATGTAATCACTGTGTGTGTGTTTGTGTGTATAATTAACATGTGAGAGCCATAAAGTGTGGACTGATATATTATGGCAGAATTGAGGAGCTCGGTTGCAAGCAAGAAAGACACCAAGAAAAAACTAACAATGTGTGCACACTGACGCATAATAACGTTCTGCTTGTTCTAAACACTTCAGTTATTGCCTGTCAATGTTTTTTTTTCACTCATTAACTGAAATAAAAATCACTCTTAAAGGAGTAGTTCACTTTTTAAAAAAAAAACTTTTGCTGATAATTTACTCACCCCCATGTCATTCTTTCTTCAGTCGAAAATAAATTAAGTTTTTTGCTGAAAACATTCCAGGATTTTCTCCATATAATGGACTTCATTGGGTGCTAAATGATTCAAAGTCCAAATGAGAGTTTCAGTGCAGCTTCAAAGGGCTTTAAATGACACCAGGCGATGAATAAGGGTCTTATCTAGCGAAACGATCTGTAATTAAAAAAATTACGTTTTATAAGCACAAATGCTCGCCTTGCTCTGTTCTGTGATGCGCGTTCGTGACTCTCCTGTTCAAACTGAACAAATCTTTTTTCAAGTCATGACTCGAAGGGTCCTAGCTAGGTAAGACCCTTATTCATCGTCTGGTGTCGTTTAAAGCCCTTTTCGAAGCTGCATTGTAACTCTCATTTGGACAATAAACTGTTTGGTTTCCAATGAAGTCCATTATATGAAGAAAATCCTGGAATGTTTTCATCAAAAACCTTAATTTCTTTTCAAATGAAGAAAGAAAGACATGGACATCTTGGATTACATGAGGGTGAGTAAATTATCAGCAAAAGTTTTTTTTAAAAGTGAACTACTCCTTTAAAGTGATGTGTCTGACGTAAAATAATGACCAATGTTTTTGAAACAAAAAAGCTTGTTGAATTGCACTGAAAAAAACTATGCATTGCATTGACCCAGTTTGCGTTTTAAGTCATTGCATTTTTATGGGCTGTAATTCAACATGGTTGTATATTTAAACTGAATATTTCAATTCAACACATTTCACACGTTTTCATTATTAAAAAGTCAACAACCCATTTTCACCTTTCAGATTTCACTTCCAAAATTAAAGCTGCAAGCAGCGATGGGCGGGCCCTCGCACCTGTAGCGCGTCGGGGTGTGAGGCGGCCGCATTGCAAATTCTGGAGCTCAGCCGGTGCGGCTGTGAATTTGCTACGCTTCATTAAAGGTCACTTCCTGTTGCCAGCAGGTGGCGCTATGACTGTGGGTGAATGTCGGCATGTAGATTTGTTCAGGGCGGGACTCTTGTCAAATGTGTAAAATTTGGTGCAGATCTGGGCATTTACAGCCAAGTTACTGCAACTTCCTGTTTCATGGCGAATCATCGACGCCACGGACACGCCCATCGACGAAAACGCGCAGATAGCACAACTTTACATCGTCAATGCCTTTAGAAGGCACTGCAGAAATTTGAAGTCGATCCGACTAAATCCCTAGGAGGAGTTCGTTAAAGTACGGAGTGTGTAAATCGTCCAAAAATGGCCGCCAAATTCAAAATGGCGGACTTCCTGTCGAGTTTATGGTATGGATTCTTGAGGCTTTTTTGTGCGTCTTGATATGATACACGTCCCCACCAAATTTCGTGCATGTAGGTTGCACGTGGACGAGGGGCTAATTTTTTCCAATTTTCTAGGTGGCGCTAGCGTGCCATTTTGCCACGCCCATCCGCGAAACCCACAAAATACGAAATTTTTCACCAGTCCTGACATGCGTGCCAAATTTGGTGAGTTTTTGAGCATGTTGCGGCCCTGAAAATGGCGCTTACTTTGCAGAAAAAAGAAAAAAGAAAAAAAAAAATAATCCTAACAGTTTCAATAGGGTCCTCGCACTGTTAGTGCTCGGGCCCTAATAATACAACCCATAGTATTCGACAGGGAATTTTCGGTCCATTTTATTTCGCTTTACAAATTCGCCTCCACAAATTCAGTGGATCATATTCGACAGTAGCAACGCTTCCTTCAAAAACACACGAACACACACAACAGAGTCTCCAAAGCGTCATGAGAGATGGCGTTAAATGACCTCATGATGTCTCAAAACACATAACATTACAATAATAATCAACATAAACAATTTACCGAGCTCTAGTTTTACCACCAGACTGCTACAGATTCATTTCAACGTTGTTATGGCGCTTTTCCATTGCTGGTATGGCTAAGTAAGTTTCGGCTCGGCGCGGCACGGTTCGGCTCGCTTCGCTTTTCCACTGCGTGGTTTGGCTCGGCTCGACACGGCACGCTTCGCTTTAGCTTGGTTGCTTTTCCACTGCAGTTAGTACCGCCTCAAAGTGGGTGGGATTAGTATAAAAGCATTCGCTACAGCGGTGGCTGTTACTGGCTATTTAAATCTAGCGGGTTTGGTTTCTCGCGTTGCAAATACAATGGTAGTGACGATTCTCTCTGACCAATCAATGATCTGCAGTGATTCACGTCACATTTTAGTACCAGTACGGTACGCTAACCTCAACAGACAAGGTACCATTTAAAGCGAGCCAAAGCAAGCCGTACCGTACCGTACCATGCAGTGGAAATGCGCCATAAGTGAGCCGAGCCGTACCGTACCATGCTGTGGAAATGCGCCAAAGCGTGCCATACCGAACCATACCGTACCATACCATGCAGTGAAAAAGTGCCATTAGTGTTGACACAGAAACGCATAAATCCGAGTCTGAGAATCCGGAGACTCCGTCTACAAGACATAAAATAATTTAACGGCGTCTCTTGTGACGCTGTGCCGACGCTGCTGTGTTTTGAAGGAGGCGTGGCTTTGGAGATGCGGGATCTCAGGCTTTCAAAGCTAGCTTGCTATTGCTAGCCTCTCTGAAATTGCCTACCCTACCTTTAATAACACATCCAATCACACACACAAAAACAAACAAACGAAATGATCTGACAGTCTGTTAAACAGCAATGAGAAGCTTTATATCAGTATAGTATATACAAAACTTCTCTGTGTATTTACAAAAGTCAACACAAGGTAGAAAATGAACACTTCACAAAATCAAAAATTAAACATCAAATAAGTCAAATGAAAAAAAAAAACACTTATGATAGGGTCTCTTGTCATCAGGCAAACATCTGGGGCAAAAAAGGGCAAATGTTATTACAAATAAACACGAAAACACCTCAGATATTGTACAGTATTGTTTTAAATAATTCACAGAGACACAGATTAATCAGATCCCCAAGCTATAAAAAAAATTCACATGTATATATATTTTTTCTAAATTTCGCAATAATAATATTAATAATAATAATAATTCCACTTGAAATAAAAAAAAAGCAAAGCAAATCACAGTTTCTCCGGGTGACACAACAACGGCTGTATAAATAAGTTGATTATTAGAATGACAGATGTACGGAATTATAATTCCCATCCATGTGCCCCTCCTCTAAATGGACCAGTCTCCTTTTCCCATAAAATCGTCCTTGCTTCCCGTATTCACATGCAAAGATTTTCACAAAGAAAACGTTGTAATATAAGAGCAGTAAACGCTGTATCTGTGTACGTCACGTGATTAGAAGTATTTTCAAAACATGATAGAAATATGCTTGACGATCTTGTGTAGTTGCTCAGTTCAGTTCCGGAGGACGTCCCGTTCGCGTCCCCAAATTAAAACGGCAAAACGGTGCACAATGGGTTTTTTTAAGTGTACATATGGAATGGCTGTTCTTCGTAGGCATCGTCCTGAAAAATAAAAATCTCCTCTATATACAGACAAAACTCCAGGGTGTTGATCAGACTGCATTGGAGGAGCACAGATGTCTGCAGGACGAAATGATAAATTACAGACGTCAGTTGGAATTACATACACATCTCCGTTAGCGACAGCTCGGCCAGTTTCAATAAAATACGAATCAAACTCTCTCGCCGATGACACAAAGACAATTATGAATCAATTACAGTGCGTGCTTGCTGGGAAATTTGTATCATTGTGTTTCTGCACAAGGTAACCTGATCTGTCATTTTACGAGCTCGACCCCCATTGCATCTCAAGTGTTTCCTTCGATAAATACATTTACGTAGATCTGTCCATTTACATCATATTTCATGAAAATATGATTTGTTTTCGTTAAAAACAGAGTACAAGTCCATAGTCTTTCTTTCAAGCTCGTACAAGGATCAATATACGTCCTCTCATACACACATGCACATGTAATTCTGAATGTACACCCACATATATACACAAAGATATACGTAAATATAGACAGGTTGTTGGTTCGTCATTCTCGCCCCAGCGTTGTCCCTCGGTATGACGCGGCCGAGGAGGTGAAAGAATGATCTTTGAAAACAGAATAAACGAAAGAAGGAGAGAGAAAGGAGAGGCTTGGACCCATATTCTTCAGAGAGCAGAAGAGGCCTGGCTACTACAGCGCGCTTGCACAAGTCCTGTGTCATGTGGTGGAATCCACCTGGTTTTCCAAACGAGGTCTTCACACACTCATGGTCATGTTTGGAGAATACTACAAGGGGACACAAGAGTTAAAAAAAGAGTTTGAGTTTGTTTTTGAGAACTTTGAGGGGTCATACCATACACTTTTAGTGTGATATTTTAACAGTTGACCAAACGTTAGTCGATGAGAAGCGGCTTGGTTGATTACATTTTAATTGGAAGTAACACATTCTGTGACATCAATACACACACACACACACACACACACACATATATATATATATATATATTAGAGCCAGACCGATATATCGGCCGGCCGATATTATCGGCCGATATTAGGCATTTTCCAAAATATCGGTATCGGCAGTTATAATGGCCAATAAATGAATATTTAAAAAAAAAAAAAAAAGACGAAACATGCTTCAATCATCTCTCCTTGGCCTGTTATATTGAAAATGTATGTTTTACAATTTGCAGTATGATGTTATCTATTGCTAAATTATGGCTCATCATAGACTAGCTAACCACAAAGCTAGCTAATGCCACTATCATCAGTGGAAGACCGCTAACGTTAACATTTATGAGCTTGGAAACCACAATGAACTTTTTCTGCCTAAATAAAGTAATGATTACTGTATTTATAAGTAGCATATCTCTAGTTACAGTCCCTGCATTGTAAAATGTAAGTTATACTTGCGAGGAGTGACATAGAGAAAAAGTATCAAACGCATCTTGTGCAGAAAAGTTAGCTTTTCTTTTACACGTGTGTGAAATCCAACAATATTTAATAAAAAAAAAAAAAAAAAAAAATCTGCCGATATATCAGAATATCAGATTTTAAAACCCCAAAATATTTGTATCAGTATCGGCCTTCAAAATCCTTTATCGGTCGAGCTTTAATATATATATATACAGTATATTAGGCATCTAAATATATATATACTGTATATATATATATATGCCTAATTAGCCGCTATACATAAGCCGTCCATCATAATGGAACGGTCACAACACGACGAAGGTGTCAGCTAACACAACATTAAAAAGTGACCAAAAAAGTACCATAGAGAAAACCTGTAATATCGAGTTAATACATTTAAAAACAAGGGCTGTCGATTTAATGCATTAACTTAATTAGTTGTGAAAAAACAAAAAGCATTAAAATTATTAACGCCTGCCTCAGATCTACGTAGACCGTCTGTCATGTCACACTGTTGTTTGGAGACGAACATGATGAAGGGCAACAACTCTCTCACGATTCTCATTTAACACAATAATGACTTTAACCCTTGTGCATCAATTAAAAAAAGTTACACATAGGTAAAAAGAGGACAAAAATGTCCATGTCAAAAAACTGTCATAAAAATGTGATGCTTTGGAGCACAGACTTAAGTTTGGTATCATTTTAAAGAAGACCCTTTGCAGATTATTGCTGAAGTAAAAAAAATAATAATAAGGACATCCAAAAAAAAGTTATATAGGTATAAGTGTATGAAAATTATTTATAAAATAATATTTTATATAAAATATATATTTTTTAAATCAGGTTGAACTCAAAACTACAATAAAATCTAAATAGGTTGTGTTCCAAATTTGAGGATGATATCTCAAAAAATGAGCTTTCAGTAACAGTTTGTTTGGGCGTAGTAACATATTTTCCCCATTGGGTCCCTGCAAAACCCCACTGGAGCTCACAGTGATTGGATTTGAATTTGCAGTTTTTCTCTCTCAGTCTGACAAACACACACATGCGCACACACACACACATATTTTTTTTATTTATAACACACATACTAACCACACTCTGACATCCATACCAACACACCCACACAAATATTGTTGCATAATTTATCCAGTTGGCTCTATAGTATGCCGAACCAGAAAACAGGAATAAAGCGATATTTGTTTTATAGGCCAAACTTAAAAAAAAAATGACACCATCTGATAAAAAATAGTAAAAAATAAAATTTTGAAGCCTTGCCATCAGAATGAAAGCCTCTTAACAAAGATTGCATAATTTTATAGTTAACTGAACCGGGGATTAAAAATGGCAGTTTTAATGGGTTTCAATGGGGACATTTTTGTCCAAAAGGGGCTGAGAGGGAGTATTTTTTGTAGCTAAAGCAAAAAATATTTTTTTAAGAAAATGACGGTGAAATAGTAAAATTCCAATAAAAATACACACCTGTGCCAAGTTTTTTGCAGTTAGCTTTAACACAGGCAAAGTGATCAAAAAAACAAAACTGAAAAGGACAAAAATGTCCACAAGGATGCACAAGGGTTAAATAAACTTTTGGGGGTAATCACCACATTGCGTAATTCATTCGATTTAAATCTCGACAGTTTCACATCATTGTAATGGCATCATTGATTCTCACTAAGAGTGACGACACCTTGACTGTTCCAATATGGCTGGAGCGCCGACATGTATGGAGCTCTCGAATGTAGATCCATCATATACATATCTACCGTCTGTGATGGATAGATAATTAACATTTACACTCACCTAAAGGATTATTAGGAACACCTGTTCAATTTCTCATTAATGCAATTATCTAATCAACCAATCACATGGCAGTTGCTTCAATGTATTTAGGAGTGTGGTCCTGGTCAAGACAATCTCCTGAACTCCAAACTGAATGTCAGAATTTTGAGCGTGGCATGGTGTTGGTGCCAGACAGGCCGGTCTGAGTATTTTAAAATCTGCTCAGTTACTGGGATTTTCACGCACAACCATTTGAATGGTGTGAAAAGGGAAAAACATCCAGTGTGCGGCAGTACTGTGGGCGAAAATGCCTTGATGATGCTAGAGGTCAGAGGAGAATGGGCCGACTGATTCAAGCTGATAGAAGAGCAACTTTGACTGAAATAACCACTCGTTACAACCGAGGTATGCAGCAAAGCATTTGTGAAGACAACACGCACAACTTTGAGGCGGATGGGCTACAACAGCAGAAGACCCCACCATGTGTAATGGTGTGGGGGATGTTTTCTTGGCACACTTTAGGTCCCTTAGTGCCAATTGGGCATTGTTTAAATTCCCTAAGCATTGTTTCTGACCATGTCCATCCCTTTATGGCCACCATGTACCCATCCTCTGATGGCTACTTCCAGCAGGATAATGCACATGTCACAAAGCTCGAATCCTTTCAAATTGGTTTCTTGAACATGACAATGAGTTGACTGTACTAAAATGGCCCCCACAGTCACCAGATCTCAACCCAATAGAGCATCTTTGGGATGTGGTGGAACGGGAGTTTTGTGCCCTGGATGTGCATCCCACAAATCTCCATCAACTGCAAGATGCTATCCTATCAATATGGGCCAACATTTCTAAAGAATGCTTTCAGCACCTTGTTGAATCAATGCCATGTAGAATTAAGGCAGTTCTGAAGGCAAAAGGGGGTCAAACACAGTATTAGTATGGTGTTCCTAATAATCCTTTAGGTGAGTGTAAGTCAGGCAGGTAATGACCATGACCTCAAACATGGTTTATCATTTAAATCATGAAAGTAGTAGCCTAAAGTTAGTTACTTTACATGGCCGCTTGCTCTAACGTTAACCTATAGATAAATGTGCACTAGGTGCATATCCAAGTGTTCATGCCAGTTAACTTATTTTCTCAAATGCAAGTCGTTCAACACGTATCTGCACCTGGTAACACTTTATAATAACTACACGCTAATAATCATTAGTTAAGCATGAGTAAACAGTTAATTCATCATTCATAAAGCAGACATTAATAAGTTGTTTATAAATACAGCTATAAATGCTTTCTTCTTGATTTAAAAGCATATCTATAATTTGTTTAATAATTGTATTTTAATTATTTATTAATGATAAATGTATAATTTCTAAATGAAGTATTGCATTTTTTATAAACCAGTTATTTAAGAGTTTTCAGTGGTTTATAAGATTACTTAGAATATGCAAGTAAATGATTAATAAACTATTTAAATGTACATTCATATATCTTATTATTCAGACATATAGTGATGGTTACTTAGTGTGTTAATAAATGCTTTATTAACATGTATTTATGCTGCAATTCAGGGTTAATTCAGATAGTTATAAAGCATTTAGTAGTGGTCAGGGACAACTCCGGCGCAAAATGAACCTTTGGTCTAATTACACATTGCTACCTAGTCAACCGTTATCTGAGATTTGTTTTCATGATTGCCGAATGTAAATAGTTTTATCTCTAAAAACAGTTTAGCCTATAACACTAGTATAATGCTAGTACAGTATATAGGGCATAGAGTAATGACAAATAAAAATCGCTTGTTATTACCACCAACAAGGCTCAAAATAGCCCCATACCAACACGACAGCATAACAAGGGTCCCTACATTCAAACCGAAGCATTGAGAACTTTGTCAGTGTCCATACAGTTTAATAAGAAGATATTTTATACACACAGTCAACTTCGCGAATACAGGAAGAAGCCATCTTTGAAAAATAGTCTCTACCAGTCGATCTACGAGCGCCGATCCAAGTGCGCTGAACTGTGCAGAATCTCATATGGTCCGTTGTTTCCAGAAGAAACACAAACACAAACCGTTTATTTGTCTTCAATATGTACACGTAGCCTACTGTTCGCGCTCACCTTATCACCTTATTCACATCTCACCAGCGCACTTGGATCGGCGTTCGTAGATCGACTGTTAGAGACTATTTTTCCAAGATGGCTTCTTCCTGTATTCGCGAAATTTACTGTGTGTATAAAATATCTGCTTATTAAACTGTATGGACACTGACAAAGTTCTCAATGCTTCGTTTTGAATGTAGGGACCCTTAATATGCTGTCGTGTTGGTATGGGGCTATTTTGAGCCTTTTTAGGGGTAATAACAAGCGATTTTTATTTGTCATTACTCTATGCCCTATATACTAGCATTATACTAGCGTTATAGGCTAAACTGTTTTTAGAGATAAAACTATTTACATTCGGCAATCATGAAAACAAATCTCAGATAACGGTTGACTAGGTAACAATCTGTAATTAGACTAAAGGTTCATTTTGCGCCGGAGTTGTCCTTTAACTATGTCTGTGAGCTCATCTAAAGTGAGGACTATTCATGCCTTGCAAAGCATTTATAAAGGAGATTTAAAGGCTGTTAAATATTTTTATACATTGTTGTGTTTGTTACATTTTACTGTTTAGAATATTGATGCGCCTTTAAATCTCCTTTATAAATGCTTTACAAGGCATGAGTAGTCCTCACTTTAGATGAGCTCACAAAAATAGTTAACTAAACATTACTAAATGATTTATAACTACCTGTATTTACTACATTTACTTACACTCTCTAAGTGATCTTATGAATGACTGACAACTCTTAAATAACTGGTTTATAAATAATGCTATACTTCATTTAGAAATGATTAATTGATCATTAACAAAGTATGAAAATACAATTATTATAGATATACTTATAAATCAAGAAAAAAAAAACATGTATAGCTGTATTTATAAACTGCTTATTAATGTCTATTAATGCTTTATAAATGATGAATCAATGCTTAACAAATGATGAATAGCATGCAGTTATTATAAAGTGTTACATACAAAGGTACTTTGAGACAAGGAAATGACATACGCTCTCATTCTGGAAAGGGTTGAGGAAATTTCCGCCCATGTCTCCGTCATCTCGTGGTGTTCCCGGCTGGTTGCTCATGCTTAGGTTACCGGGAGAGTTCTGTACAGACAGATAGAAGTTTCATTTTACAGTTCAATATGTTTTGCAGACGAGGCAAATCATGTATGAAAATTCAGGCTGTCAATTTAAGACAACTTTTTTTACACAAGAATCGTCTAAAAATGTAATTAATGAGCATATCATGTAGTTAATTTGCTAAAATGTTGAATACATTGACAGATTTGATTTAAAATATTGAAAAAAACTCTTACCTTAGGCATACTGTCCATGTCAGCTGACCCTAAAGAAATAAAAATATAGATTTCCGATTTTAAAAATGATATTGTAGACGTGTAGTTGCAAAAGTAGTACTTTTAAAAGGCATGATTCATCTTCAATGACCACAAGGGGGCATGAGCATGCAAGGCAAAAAACGACAACAAATCAGGAAAATCAAGCATGAAAGCTGCAATTTCACATTTTGACATGCTTTGATACTCCTCAAGCAAAGTACACAGCACTCAAAGATGTCTAATAGTACTATCTAAAGTGGCTGTTTGTACAGAGACACTCTTACCTAAAGATCCATTCATGTGATGCGGCTCCATTCCCGCCATGCCTCCCATCGGACCGTCTCCTCCAGGACCAATAGGGAACTGTCAAACACACACATAGTTATGCAAAACACATATTAAATATGATACTACAACAAGAGCAGACAGAAAGACAGTCATTAATTACAGTACTATGAACAAATGCAACTCAAAATGAACTGAGATGCATGTGTGCAAATATTTGACATTTATCTACTGTCTTACGTTTTGCCGGTTTCCTCCGGGCGGCACTGCGTTGATCATGGTGTACATATTTTCTCCCGAGTTTGTCGAGTCTGTACAGAAAGAACAAAACACTCTAGATCATCGACATATATTCAGCTAATGCTCCACTGATGGTTTTAAAAAGTATTTGGACACATTTTAAATATCACTATATTAGTAAACACAATACTTAAAAGGCATTTAACACTTTAAAAAAACTGTGCATACATTCAACATTAATAACACTTAATTTATATATATATATAAGTAAAAAATGTAACAGTAACAGTAATAACAGTTGATATATTCAAATCTTTACAAAACATTACATTATGCAAGGTTAAATAATATATCAAATAGATATATTGATAAATATAAATAAAGTATATACAACATCTTGCACACTTTAAAATATTGCATATATTAAAATAAAAACGATATTGTTATAATAAAAAATATATATGATAAAAAAACACATTTAGCACTGTAATTATTTAACTATAGACATTTCAACTGTTAAAATAAAAATATATGAAATAAATAAATAGAATACATATACATGTATGTACAGTATATTAATACATTTTATATTCTATCTTGCATATTAAAATCATTAACACTCAAAAATATTTTTAGTATTTTATTGTTATATTTCAGAACTGTGTGTAAACTCTATTGTACATATGTAATATATATATGTAATATATATATATATATATATATATATATATATATATATATACACACTCTAAAAAATGCTGGGTTGTTTTAACCCAATTTTGGGTCAAATATGGACAAACCCGAAATGTTGGGTTAAAAATGTAATGTAAAAATTTAACCCAACGGCTGGGTTAGTCCATATTTGACCCAAAGTTGGGTTAAAACAACCCAGCATTTTTTACAGTGTACAATTAATACATATAGATAATTAAAACAATAAAACACACACACACGCACACACACGCACACACACACACACACACACACACACACACACACACACACACATATATATATATATATATTAAAGATATTTATTAATTAATTAATTAAGAAAAAATTAAAAGAAATTTAATGTAGAATATATTAATACAATACAATAATTATTCCCCCCGGCCCCTACCTGCAGGGCTAGGCATGATGGGAGTCCCTGGGGGCCCTCCTCCACCCGGTGGACCCTGAGGAGGAGAAAAGACAAATATTGTTCTAAATCTCATGTAACACAGTTTAATTAGTTACATTTGAATGCACTTGTGGCATATACATGTGTAAATGTGAGGATAGTCCTGAGTATGTGTGTGTGTGTGTTCATGACAGAGGCCTGAGGCGCTTGCTGTGGTCAGCACTGTGCATATCTGCTCTATCCTCTCTCTTCCCAAATCTAATTATCTCTCCTCCTCTCTGCTGACTCGGCTCTGCCTTCCCGAGCACCTCGTCTTGTCTGGCTGCTTTCAGTAAGCTACCACAGCTTCCCCTCCACAAATCATCTCAGCAGGGAGTTACTGACAGCGTTTTAACAGAATAACTTGTGTAAATGTCTTAAAACGACATGTTTAATCACACTGCGTGTCTCAAATGTGTTTCCATGCGTCTGGCCGCGTCTAGTTGTTTGAAGGACTTTTTGATTTTTAAATGACTTTATACTAGCCGTGTGCCTCATTCATGCAAATATATAATATTATAAACATAACAAAACATTTATAACAACATCAACAATAAAGATATGTTTTTAAAAATGTTACAAGATTTACAAGAATAAAACATTGCCTGGCCCAAAAAAAAAAAAAAAAATGGACTTACAGAGGCAAATGCTTTGCTCTTGCTCTGACCAAAAATGGATGCACCTCTTGATGGAAATAAATGTTGTGATGTTATTTCCATTAAGAGGTGCATACTTTTTTGGTCAAGATCTTGTATTGTCAATGTAAGAGTCCAGCACTCTGTAAAGTCTCCTTCAGCACATCCCAAAGACTCAGGACTCAGAGGAGACGATTCACGTGTGAAAATGATTCTTCATGATCCTCACAACCATTCTTTCACAATCTGAGCCTGATGAATCTTGACATTATCATCCTGGAATATGGCCATGATCTGTCTCAAACATGGTTGTTTAAGAAACAAAAAGCTACAGAAGAACTGTTGCCAAACATAAAACATGATAGAAACATTAATCACTGAAATAATGATCCAGTCATAGACTCTCCTGTTCGGACTCGTTCATCAAAATGAACAAATCTTTTTTCGATTCATTTGGTTCATTGAACCAAATGACTCGAAAAAAGATTCGTCTATTTATATATATATATATATATGTATCATTTATTCTTATAATTTGGATCTGCTGAGGACACAGGACTGTGGGAAATATCTTGTGATCTGATGAATCTCTTCACGGCTGTTGGTGTGTAAATGGAGAGGGTCACGGCTCTTACCACATAACTCCCTGGAGATGCTGATGAATACGGGATCTTAAATGCCACGTGGATCCGATCAGACAGAAAAACAGAGAGAACGTCAAAAAAAGCAGATGCTCTTTAAGTGCAAACATTTATCTAAAGCTGTAGTGGCTGACATTTCACAACAAATGATTGTAGAAATGACTCACCGAGTTGGAGTTTGGTGGATTTGGCCACGGTCTTCCTCCGGGACCCCTACAGTAAGGCGAGATGTGTTGTACTCATTAACTTTTCTAAGGCTATGGTGGGAAATAGTCTTTGTTTTATGGCAAATGGATTGTTAGTGTAACAAGAAGTACGTACATATTCATCCCAGGCATCCCAGGACCTCCAAGAGCATTGAGTGGTGGTCTCATGCCCCCTCCATATGCCTGGAACAATAATAATAAAAAAAAGAAATGTAGCAAAGAGTCTTAGTGGTTTAGATGAGCGATCCGTGTCATGGTCTTACCTGTGGCCCAAGAGGAACCATCCCTCTGGGCGGAGTCATTCTCTGCATAGCTCCGCCCATATTTGGATGACCTGTCCAATCAAAATGGAAATTAGTAAATTAGCAAATGGCAAACACATTGAGAGATGAACCTCAAAAAAAAAAAAAAAAAAAAAAAAAAACATATTTCACCACCCCCCCAAAATAACTATTCATGTCTCTATATGTATATATTTAATATAATAACAATGTAAAATGGATATAATGTAATATTATATATGGCCAATTTTCTTATGGTCAGTTCACATCAAGGATGATAACTATAACTATAACGATAAATACATAGTTTTAAAAACGCAGCGTTTTTATAATAAACAGAACGATGTCAGGCTAGTTTTGTCATCGTTATAGTTATTGTCTTTGGTGGTGTGAACGAGCTTTAAGGTGAATCTCAAGAAAGGGTGTAAATATTAAAATATTCAGATATTCAGATCCAAATATTCTATGTTTCAAAATATATTTTAATATAATAATAATAACATATTTTATATGGCTGTATTAAATTTTCCCTAAGGTGAATCTCATGAAAGCTGTCAAGAAATGTTTAAACATGTATGAATAATATTTCACTGCACCCCTATTAGTATTTTCATAACAATTAATCATCAATCAATGAATCTAATTTTGGTTACTGCAAATAAAATAGCATTTTATAAAACAATATGCTTTTTATAAAGTATTTAAACATTGTAAAAGTATTTCATTTATGCAAATAAAAAAAAAAAAAAAACATCATTGTGTCCAGACTTGATTTCCATTACTGCATTACCATAATGAGAATGAGATTTTTTTCCCCCGCATTACGGTAATGAGAATTCTGGGGGGAAAGTGCTTAATTGCTAAGAAAATAATGTCATTATGGAGAAAATCTTAACGGTCCTAAAATAGGCTTCGACTTTCTTTATGCAAAACATATTTTTCTATTTTTTATTTGGTGTTAAATATGACCAAACATTTCACCCTATAAGATGGTTTAATTAATTATTCTCAAACAAACCTTGTTGTCTTGATGGGTCCATGCCACTGGGTAATAACGGCTGGTTTCCAGGGACTCCACCTAATGCCTGAACCAGTGAGATACAGTACAAATTAATATACATTTGTCAACATCGTCCAAGCAGGAGTAGATAAGGCCCATTAGCTGCCCTTGGGCTATGACATTAGATCAGGACCCAAAATATCACGTTCAGGAGAGCGAGACAGTATGACAGGCTGGAAATAAAATGTTAAGCCTTAAGCGACAGCAAAAATACTATTAGAGGGAGATATTAGTCTTGGCTGAAAAGTCTTACTATGACTCACTGCAAGTTAATTAGACAAGACTAAAATAAAACATTTAAAACTCCAATTACTCCACCGTCAGTGTGTATTTCTGTGCAAACGGTTACGCACCTGATTGGGTATTCTGAGAGGTGGCCTGGGGCCGCCAGGATAGCGTGATGACATGAACGGCTAGAACAAAAAGAAGAGATATCAAATATGATTATAATTAGCAAAAAAGTCTTATTCTAATGTCAACATGAGATCAAAATTAAGAAACATTCCTCTGCATTGACTCATGAAAACACCATCTAGATGGTGACCATACTGATATGTAGTCTTTTTTTAAGAACTGTACACACCAACTGAACTAGCTTTTCTTCAGCTCTAGGGGCATTTACTTAAAGCGCCAGCAAGATCAATAGCACCGAGAACGTCTCCGGAGAACAAAAAACAATTATTTCCAAGCATCCAACCGAACAAGGCCATTTCCACCTCCACATCTGAGGTGAGATTAAGAAAAAACCCTCGATGAGAAAGTAAACATACTATATGTATTTAAGACCACAAGCCTTAAGAAATTAACCAAATATAGTAGGGCTGTCAGTTAAACGCTTTATTAACGGCGTTAACGCAAACCCATTTTAACGGCGTCAATTTTTTATCGCGCGATTAACAGTCTTTTTTGGCCTCGCAAACGTTTTTTCATGCGTGGCATTAGGGTTGGGTATCGAGAATCGAGTATCGATTGGAACCGAGACTAACTTTTCGTTTTTCCCGGAATCGTTCAAAAGTTAAAATTTCGATTCCTAGTTTCGATATTCACAGTACGCTGAGCGGAAGAAGAAACCGCTGAAAAACACCAATGAAGAAGCGTCTACCAGAAGTGTTGGCATAACCACGCGAGTCGAACATGAGTACCTTACGTCAGCGATCCAAAGTGTGGCTTCACTTTTCTAAAAATAACGAAATCTTGGCAAAATGCAAAATTTGTGATAAAAGGAGTATTTTTACAGAAGGAGTATTTCCTTTAGAAAGGATTATTTCCTTCAGAAAGGCCGTTGGTTAGCAAGGTTAGCTAAACTTTTTTGACCCTGCCTCTTAAAAGAATCGAGAATCGTTAGGAACCGGAATCGAAACAAGGAATCGCAATCGGAATCAGAATCGTTCAAATTCAAACGATACCCAACCCTACGTGGCATGCGTAGCGCTATGAAACCCATTCATTTCAATGGTTGCTTCATTGACCAAAGCGCAAGTGGATCTAGCTAGACCAGAAACAAAACAAGAGGAAACAAAATAAGCACACACTAGTTTGGGCTTGCGAGCCGGCCAAATAGTAGGTTAACGTTACGTTTTGAGTGAATGACGAGCGTGAGGCGCCGAAATGGATGCCAGTAAGATTCTGAATGGAATGTTTACTTTTAAAATGTTGCCAAGATTGACAAGACCAAAGTAATCTGTGTGTTTTGTCATTGTGAACTGAGCTATCATCATCGCAGCACGTCCAGTCTGAAATATCACTTGATGATGGCCAAGCACACACCTAGACGATGCGAATTCTCCGCCCCTCGTCAATATCAGGACTTTTATTGATAGACAGTGTTAAAATGTGTGAGAGATTATTTGCTCCAAGTGAGAATGTTAGTGTGAAATTGAACAGAGTATAGACCCTTTTACAGTTGGTAAACATGGTGACGTTTTTTTGTGGGCGGAGCTTAGGTGGAGGCAGAAAGATCCATCTGGCCGCTTCACTAACGCTAGTTAGTAAGGATTGTTAGCTTGTTTTTTAACAATGACTGGAGAAAATCCGATATTATCTTAATGTGTAAGGTCCCTCAGTGTCCAGGACCGCGATTGTTATTTTCAAAAGTTATTTTTAACGGACGGAACCAGATTGGCCGACCTGTAGCCGCCTACACGCTCACTCAATGCATGGACGATCTGACAGGATTAACGTACGTTACCTCGGTTGAGTGACCTGACTTCTACACCTACCTTATAGAGAAACCGATCGTAAATAGAAACTGAGGGCATATAAATCTTTAGATGCCTATATGGTCCTGTACAAGACTTGTGTGTATGATCCGCAGTTCTGCCGAGTCAGCGCCGAGACCACAACAATGTAAAGAGTGACATTACAGTGCGATTTTAATGATGTGAATATTTTCTAGAAATAAAAGTTCCAGATAAAGCATATTCATTTTTCATCAATTCTTGCACCAAACAACACAACAAGATGACATTTAATAATAGTAACAATTATTTAAGCTCCTTATTATGTAGCCGAATCTGTGCTGTTTTGCATTGACCGCCTCCAGTTTTCACTTTGTTTTGCCTCCAGCTAGCGCCGTGACGTAACTGTGAGGGGTCTATATGCCAATGCTGTTTTCAATAAAAAAACATTTGCACAAAGCAAGCCGATCCACTTTTACATGTTGATAAGAGCATTAAAATGAGAAAAAGATAACGGGACAAAAACAAAAAAAGAGACATTTAGAAAAAAATGTGCGATTAATTGTGAGTTAACTGACAATAATGTGATTAATCGCGATTAAATATTTTAATCGTTTGACAGCACTAATATATCGATTGTTTTCCTTGAATAATTGGAGACGATGATAAGACATCCAGTTTCGGCGAACCTAAAAGATCATTACAAATCACATTGTGGATCTGATAAACTTGGGTACGACATGTATTCAGACTGTACGATGATGACATCTATTGAATTTTAGGCTACGACACATAGAAGAATGAAACGTCATCAGTATGCGCTAGTGGTAAACAAACAGAGCAAGATGAATCACACTTTGGCAATTGTGGTTTTTATGTGCGTTTTTAAAAGCGGAGGAAGCGAAAGCGGGGAATATGGACTAGGGAAAAGGGAAAAGAGGGCAACTTGGCATGCTAATCTAGCAAATGGAGCTTGAGGTAAGTAGTTTTAAGTTTTAGCGCCAAGTCGCGTTGACCATTTCATGTTGCATTTTTATTGGCTAGTCAGTTAGACGTAGGTTGTAGCAACAAACACACTGTGAGATGATCATGCTAAATTTATGACAATTTAAAAAAAAATTAAAATCATCGTCATTCTCCCGCGGCCCTCACTCGTCCTGCTCGCCACAGTAAACATGATGAATGGCGACTGTAGAACGCAAAAGCCGAATCCCGGACATTTTGGCCGATCTCGAAACACATTTTCGGGCAGACTCATGCTGCGTTCACGTGCTATGGAAAGTAGGATATTTTCCACTTGTGAATTGGTATTCACCAGTGTGTTGCGTTCAAGTGCTTTTGTTGTCGTAATGTGGTAAAAAGATGGACATCCAGACCTGTTATTTAGCTAAAACTATTATAGATTGCTCAAGTCATCTGCAACAGCAAGAAAATGATTTATCGAAACTCAAAAGGTAAATAATATGCTAATATATTTTCTAGATCATGAATAGTATATATTTTTACCATTCACGACTCTTGCGGTGCTCTCCGCCATTTTGAAAAATTCAAAGGTTATCTCCATTAAAATATTCTACGAGTTGCCCAGTAGAAAATACCACATGAGGGGGTGTTCATGTGCATTTTCCACGTCGGCTTTTGGTATTTACCATAATTACCATAGCACATGAACGCAGCATTAATATGAAGACTCACTAGAATCAAGTGCATTCTGGGAGTTGTTGTCTTTCCCCCACATAAGCCAAAAATACATTTTCTGGCTTTTCTCAGTCTAGAAATCTCCAAATTCAAAAATAATTTCACATTTCTTCTACATAAATGACCCATTTGATATACACATTCATCTTTCCAGAGGTGAAGTATCCCTCTAAATGAATGCACCTTTCTGCCTGGAGTTTTACTTCATCTTTCCAATCTACTCTGCCAACAATTCGCAGATGACCTGAAAAACACCAACAAACATGTATGTTTGAGTTTGAGAATCTCAGTTGAGGAACAGCTCAAATGAAAATGTCATAAAGCCAGTCTATGTTCCTTCACAAGCCGCTTGTGTGAATACAAGTATTCATTTCTTTCTTACTGACCCCAAAGTTTTTATTCAAGAGTCTTGTTGTGACGTTGCACAATATGTCCAACCTTTCTGTAAACAAGTGAAGACTTAAAATTGATCAGTTCACCAGGCGTTGGAGTCTCATTTCAGAGATCAAAGCTCAGGCCAATCTGTCTCAAAGCCGACATCTATCCATAATTAAGGGAAATAAGAGGTTCATTGAGAATCAGTCATTATCAGGTGAAAATTGGACATGCATTTCTTTGTTCATCAAAGAGAACGTAGACTTGGACAGAGATCATGTTGTGACTTGAATGTGCTGAATATGTTAAAAAAATTCTGCCATTTTTCTGTATACTGTACGTGTGCAGCTCTTTTAAAAATACATGCAGAATTACGAAGATGGTGAAGTCGAAACAAAAGGCTGTTTAGTCAGTCTTAATACTTCTTACTTCAATGCTACTTAAGGAATATTTGCGTAAACAAAAAAGTAAGAGTATGTTAGGATTTTCATGTGCGGTTAAACAGTGGCGATCAAATGAAGAGGTAACCATAGCAACAGCAGGCTGCTTTAGTACTTTCCGTACTCAGGATCCATATTGGCTGATTCATCGATTAAAACATAAATACTTCCGTTATCTATCACTTTATTATATTTCAATTTCACATGTATTCATGGGTTCTCACTTTTTATTAGAGTGATTGCTGAATCTATGCATGGTTAAAAGCATTTTGATTCAAACTGATTCACTAATGAATAATTCAGACCATTTTGAACCATTTGAGTAATCTCTCACAAAGTTTTACTCAACACAAGATTAGTGGAATCTATAAATGAAATTTTGTAGCAGACAAAACTAGAAATATGTTTGAAACTGTTTTTTCCAGGAATTTGCTAAGTTTTGATGTTTTGGCTAACTATATTAGGTGTTCCTAACAGTTTGGACCTGAAAATTTACTTGATTATATACAATCGGGGCATGACATTAACTTTTTTGCTCACTAGCCACTGTCTAGTGTTTTCCAAACTTTCTAGCCACTCAGCATTTTCACTGGCCACAATTTTGACATCGATACCATAGGAAAAAAACTGCCATATAGATATTTTTGATATTATCTCAGCATTTGGCAGCTGGTATATTAGGTAGAGCCAGACCGATATATCGGCAGGCCGATATTATCGGCC